GAGTAGATCATGAATTGCCTGGAACTTGTTGCTGAGGACTATCTTGAATTTGTTGAGTTTGTTAGTATCCTGAAGAAAGGCCGTATTGAACTTTTGTGATATTGTCCGCCCCGTTGTCCAGTGCTTCTTGAGTTTCAATTTCATCTTGGCGACCAGTAAGTGATGATCTGATGCTATATCAGCTCCTCTCTTGGTTCTCACGTCCTCTATAGTCCTCCTGAACGTTTTGTTGATGCAAATATGGTCGATTTGGTTTTGTGTAAGAGTGATCCGGTGAAGTCCATGTGGTTTTGTGTATGTGTTTATGTGGGAATATGGTGCCACCTATGACCAGTTTATTGAAGGCACATAGGTTTGCAAATCTCTCACCGTTTTCGTTTCTTTCTCCCAGTCCGTGTCGTCCCATGATGTCTTCATATCCAGTGTTGTCCGTTCCAACCTTGGCGTTGAAATCTCCCATCAGAATGGTCAGGTCCTTCGTTGGGCACTTCTCGATGATTGACTGCAGCCTATTGTAGAATTGATCTTTAGCGTCTTCATTGTAGTCGTTGGTAGGCGCATAGCATTGGATGATGTTCATTGAAATGCCCTCTTTCTTTGTTTTGAAGGAGGCTTTGATGATCCTTGGTCCATGAGATTCCCATCCTATAAGCGCATTTTGCGCTTGTTTGGACAGCATCAATGCAACTCCTTGTGTATGTGGTGCATTTTCTTCTTCATGGCCGGAGTATAACAGGAGCTCTCCTGTAGTTAGTCGTTGTTGTCCAACTTGTGTCCAACGTATTTCAGTGATGCCAAGTACCTCTAGGTTGTATCTCCTCATTTCTGTAGCAATTTGGAAAGCTCTCCCGGTGTCCCATATTGTACGAACATTCCATGTACCTAAATAAATGGTCGCTCTGGTTGTCAGAAAGGGGTATCGGCCTCGTAACTTCCGAAGGAATTCGGCCTTCATCATGAGGCGTCATAATTCTTCTAAATGAAGACCTTCTAAATCCCAGGGCAGAGTTTAAAAGGTTTGAATAATTTTTTTCTGGTTAGCGTTTTTTAGCGAGTTAGTTTTCTACGGGATGGAGACGCTAACCTCATGCCCAACCCTCCTCTTTTATCTGGGCTTGGGACCGGCAGTAGCCACCGGGGGGACTCCAGGCGGAGTTATCAAATTTATAAGGGCCAGCTAATTGTCTCATGTGTCGTAATAATTGAGACGGTGATTTTTCGCCTAGCTCACATTCGTGCAGTAATTGCTGTAATCTCTTTACATCCGATAATGAGGTACGTTGAATAATTGCCTGCTTCAATTGATCATATTGATCAGATGCAGGAATATTATCTATCAAATGTGACACCTCAGATGCTACTTCGGTAGGCAGTAGCCCAAGCACGAAAGAGTACTTTGATGTTTGTGAGCGTATATTACGACGCTGGAACTGTACTTCCACTTGGGCAAACCAAATGCGCGGATTTAATCGAATGAATGGGGGCACATTTATCAGGTTTAGAGCGTGTAGCTCTGTTGAAAAGTTATCCTGGATGGTGCCTTCAGTTTCAGAAGTGTACATTACAAATATACAAAAAATTAAATACTACCAAGGGTAAAATAACGCCGCAATGTCTGTAAGTGAACTCAAAAGTAGTTTCAAGGGAAAAAAAATCTACGGACTCACCAAATTTGTGGTGGTGCCCAAACAAAAGGAGCTTACACAAAATATATTGACACACTAGGTTATTAGTGATATACCAAAAAAAAATTAATAGTTAAGAAATCTAGATGTTTGTCCGTTAGTAAAACCAAAGGTAACAAGATACCGTTAGCAATACAAAAGGTATATTAAACAGAAAAAATTCTCGGATAGATAAAGCTAGATGATATTTTTATCAGAAAGTATGATTAAAGAAACGTTTGCTGATGTCAGCTTTTTACCAGAACATGATTTCATAAAGTATTCATGAAAATTAACCTTTAGATTGCAGAACGTCTGAGGGGTGAACAGAATTTATCAAAACTACATTTAACGAACGATGTGAAAAACATTATAGATTGTAGTTTGAGAACAAGAACTCACTTAAGGCCGACATAATACTCAACATTAGATACAGTAGAATGGAGAACGGAACGTAAAAACATACATGACATACTATATACGATGGTTCATAGAAACGGCAGAAGTGATACATGGATCTGAAAAGTTAACAAGATGATTGGCGAAATTTCAACTGGGCATAATGAATGACTTCGAATTAAATATCACTGATGAATGTGTGATTACTCGTTGCGACTAGTACGCATGGACGGTACCTGAGTGATACTAAACTAAATTTGAGAAAATCTGACCAATTGGTAGTTTCAAAATAGGATCAGGAATTACAATGATGAATTGGGATCAGGAATCACAGTAAGGCATTTTACTACGACTGACATAAGTTATAATGTCGAAATACCACTCCACCATATAGATGGATAAATTTGGCACCAGAATCCAAGTGTCTCTGTGTGGTGTTTGAATGATTTAATGATTCCTTTGTACTTGTTAAATGCTTGATTTCGAATTCCAAATACAGTACATTCGTTCGTGCTTATCTAGTGCATCTTGATCCAATTGCATTATTTCTGGGATTCTTATTTCGTACTATAATTCAAATACCCCTAATTATCACATTGGTGTCGTGATGGGACCTGTGATGGAATTGTTTGATCTACATTCAGATTTTGATGCTTTTGAGGAATACTCTGAAAAGTTCGAAATCTGGGCTATGACCAAGGAAGATGATGAAGATGTTAATATTGTAGCCCATTTCCTCAGATTCATCGGAAAAGAAACATACAGTTTATTAAAAAATCTGGCTTTACCGGAAAAGCCCATTTCGCTTACTTATACAACTCTCAAGGAACTACTGCTAGACTATGTTAAGTATACAAATTTCGAATGTGGTAAAGGAGGAAGATTTCGTAAAATGATTCATGAGGATATAAAAAATTCCACCACATTATGTCATCCCAACCCAGTGCATACTCAGGGTTATGCAGATAATTCATTGAGGAGTTGCGATGCAGTTCACGAATATGGGCGCAATTTCGGTCAATGTTTGTCCTGTGTGGCATTTTCCACTCCTTCAATTCATGTAGATTTCGTAATTCTGGGTGCTTTAAATGTGGTGATATTGGACATATTCAGTCAGTTTGTAATACTACTGTTCATCTTGCTGCAACTAATATTAAGTCTTGTAATTCTGATTCTATTAAGTTTAGTGTTCATAATGATCATTTATCTTTATCGACGATTTCAAAAGACAGTGTAGAGTCATATAGCAATTCATAGTTAAACGAAACTCAGAATTCATGCGAGACAACAGTTTCTAATCAATCAATTTGTCAGATTTCTCATGTTATTGTACCAGATATGGTTCTCTCTAATGATTCACATATTTCTTATGAAAGTCCTTACAAATCCGAGGAAATTATGTTGAATGGACTTAGTCATGATCGAAAACCTGATGTGGTTTTGATAGATGCTGATTTTTCTAATGATCCTTTACTCTGCAATGACATTCTTAATAAATTCGAGGAAACTATTTCGGAAGAATCAAATCTTGATGTCATATCAAATATTATTTGTCCTCATAATTCATTTGTTGTTTGTGGGAAACTTGATCAGTGCGAAGCACGAGTAATAAGTGAGCTCGATTTTGATAACAATTCGGATGATTTCCTATCAACTGCTGTTTATCCTTATCACAAAGTCACTTCTAGTGTTTACTCTAGCCAATGTGAGAAATATATTTTCATATCCGAGACCCGTATTCAAGACTCTGGTGAAGTACTACAAATTCTCTCTCTATCAGTCACAAAGAACATTACTCGCTAATTCAACACACAAATCGATGTGAAGCCACCTCAAGTGAGCTCGGTGACGGCTGATTCTCATCGGTCAAAGGAGGAAAGACTGAATTCAAAGAGGTCTGTCCCAAATAAAACCCGTCCTTCAAATGGTGACTGGTAGGAATCGTCTGGGAAGCGCAATCGCAATGTTCGATCGGTTTCTAGCAGGAAGCACGACCTGGACATGGATTACAGCAAACTGGTGAAAAAAAATATTTCAGAAATACTCTCAGTAAAGTACAGTTTGGGATGTAGACAGTGGTTGGAGGTAGTCAACACGAAACCCTGGACCCAGGTTTCGTTCTACTTGGCACTCGTCAGCAAGGTGTACCTGTAATCTTGAGGGAGCTGGTGCTCCCTGGCGGATTCAATCTCGTGTCACCCAGCGTCACAGTCAGAGACATTACCACTGAGCTATCCGAGCGGTGACTAACCTCCTGTAGGACTGAGATATAATCACAACTGATTGATCATTTGGTGGTGATCAATGTCATGCTTGTCTAGTCACTTGTGATTACAGTTTGGGGTGTATTCGCGTCTGAATACATGCAGCACGTATCATGAAATTTTGAAAATTTCGATTGCTTTACACGAAAATCACAGCTTGTAGTTCAGTTTTCACCAAACAACCTAAGTTACCTGCTTTCAACTAATAAGAAAATGAGCCGAACACACAAACAGTCTGTTGACCGTGCTTTTGATGTCCTTGCCAAGTAACCATGATTGTGTATAGAAGTAAAATTATCAAGTACGACGTCACTAATGGTCAGTTGTGACTTGTAGTGAATAGTATTAGTATGGAAGCACCAGGATTTCACTAGAATTTGGTAGTGTTTTCTAGAGAGTTCTGGTGAATAGGGCGTAATATGTGTTGACACAGAGCGAACATATGTGAACGTAGACTAGACAGGGCGAGAGAAATCTAGAACTTTCGAGAAAATGTCCTTCAATGACCAATCAGATTTGGACTTAATTACATCGTAGAAATATTAGCGTTCTGATTGGTTGTTACCCGTTTAGAGGTCATTGAATAATTTCTCTCACCCACCACTATATAAGTAAGTTAAACAGTCGAGCATTCAACGCATATTGTTGTTCTATTTCTGTTATCGTGTTGAATATGTCTGGTGGGCAACATCATCAAGCAGTTAGTATTCCTGTGAATCGTGAGCAACGGTCATTTGAGAGGCAGAGACGTGACCTGTTAACTGGCCTGGAACACGGAGGTGGTACTCATCGTGGCAACCTAATCGCACCGTACACGGAAGACTGGCCGAGTACTGTGGACAGCTGGATCAACTCCTCGTGGAGGAGATGGGATGAAGACATGCGACGTTTGAGACGTGGAATGTTCGCGCTATTAGTGAGTTTTGCTATTCAGTATTCAGGTGACCATTAATGCATATGATTTCTTGAGATAATGTTTATCATTTGTGTATGTTAGGAGTGCAATAATGCATTGTGTGGACAGATTTCGCATAAAATTCGAGGAGAGATTTGATGAGCTCGGTATGTTCTTTGAATTTCAGCCGTTGGACAACTTCACCCACGGTATTTGGGAGAATCCATTCGCTTTAATGCACCAAATGGATCGTCATATCCAGGATATCCGAGAGAGAATGGGCTCAATGGATGTTCCGTCGACCGGTTCAGTGAGTGACTTTTTGAAGGACGCCTACGAAATAGGTGAGGATGGCAAGGTGAGTCCGTGCTGACGAGCAGGTAGGTTGTGTTTATTGTTTTGTGCAGTTGGTTTGAACATGGCCGTTGATTGACGAGTGTTATTATGGTTGTTGTTTATTGCGTAGGTACATTTCAAGGTACGATTCGACGCACAAGGTTTCGCTCCTCAGGACATCAATGTGACGTCGAGTGAGAACCGTGTGACGGTACACGCGAAGAAGGAGACGACGACCGATGGTGGGAAGTGTAGTCGGGAGTTCTGTCGTATGGTGCAGCTGCCGAAGAGTATTGATGATAGTCAACTGAAATGTCGCATGACAGATGTAAGTTGTTGAGTTGACGACTGTGGTTGGTGGCGGTGGTGGTGGTGGTGGTTTTGTGTGTGTTGTATTTTCAGTTGTTTGCATTCCGAATCATGTTAGAATAGTTGGAAGTCTCGTTTCATCTTGTTCTGTGCGTTTGTTTGTCTATCCGTTTCAGGATGGTGTTTTGATGTTGGAGGCTCCAGTGAAGGTTGATCAGAACCAGTCGTTGACGCTGAACGAGTCTGGTCAGGTGGGTGTTCGACCGAAATCGGACAATCAGATTAAGGCAGTTCCTGCGTCTCAAGCACTTGTTGCAAAAGGTGAGAGGAGTTGTGATTGATCTGGTGGGTGTGTTATTCTCGTTTGTGTGTGTTGCATTTTCCTAACATTGTATTTTTCCCTATCCATTTCAGGTGTTCATGGTCTATCGTATGTGGATGATGGTTCAGGTGGCAAGCGATTGCATGTTGAGGTTCCAGTGGACCCAGTGTACAAGCCTGAAGACTTGTGTGTGAATGTTGATTCGAATCGTGTTGTGGTTAGTGGACGTCATCATAAGCAGAAGAGTGGTCAATATGGAAAGTCAAGTTCATTTGCAGAGTTCAGTCAGTCGTATGCGATTCCCGAGACAGTTGATCCGTTATCTGTTTCTGCTCAGGTAGTTGGCAATACATTGGTATTGGAGGCGCCATTGGAGAAGCATCATGCGATTACTCATTAGGAGGTAAATATTACGAACTGGATTGACGATGATTTTCATGAAGATGGTGATAATAATAATGGCGATAATCATGCTTACGTGTTTGTTTTAATTTCCTAATAAATGAATTTACCTACTTGCTATTTGCTTTCATAACCGTGAAATGTTTGTGGCCTGAGTCTTGGTAATTGATTGGGTCGGACAACAGGTGGTTTTTCGAGTTATATTTATGCTTTAACATTTGTCATGTATCAGATTGAGATTTAGTGTGAAATGTGCTTTCATGCGAAGGAATTTTATTAGGATTACGGTACAGTGAATTTCGACGTGTGACACCAACTAGTGCTCTTTTTACTCAGATGGAAATAGTCGTTTATTGACTACATAAACTCTGGATTTTACGATTGCTTATGAAGATTAGTTACCAGTATTTGTGTGTAATACACCGATTGAAGGTTGGAATAAATTGTGGCTGAATCGGAAGGCTTAGTTCTGGTGATTTTAATGGGAAGTGAATGACTCATATGGAAGTATGGATTATCAAACATCACGCCTCCTATATTTACGATTGTTCTCGTTCTTCCCAACAAACCGAACATTTATCCAGACCGTTTGTGAGATTTGGGTGATCTTAGAAGTGGATTGTTCTAGCGATAATTGTGACTGTCTCGGAATTGATAAACTTTGGTCTCTTAGATCCAGTTTGTGTTGTTGCGCAACCCCAAGCGGCATATCGATGAGAGTGATTAGACTAGCGTGCTCCGGTAGGTCGGAAGTTCGGAACTGTTCGCTTCTTACTTACGTACGCCTGTTACTCCTCGTGAAGGAGCATAGGCCGCTCACCAGCATTCGCCATTCAATCCTGTCCTGGGCAATCCTTTCCAGCTCCTTCCAGTTGTTATTCGTCCTTTTCATATCTGCTTCTACTATCCGACGTAATGTGTTCTTAGGCCTTCCTCTTTTCCGCTTCCCTTCAGGATTCCAAGTTAGGGCTTGTCTCGTGATGCAGTTTGACGATTTGCGTAATGTATGTCCTATCCATTTCCATCGTCTTTCCTTAATTTCTTCTTCAGCTGGAAGCTGATTTCTCCTCTCCCACAAAGTACTGTTGCTGATGGTATCCGGCCAATGGATGTTGAGTATCTTGCGAAGACAGCTATTTATAAATATTTGTACCTTCTTGATGATGGTTGTAATAGTTCTCCAAGTTTCAGCTCCGTACAGTAGATCTGATTGTGTTTGATGTTCGTATTGAAGATTGTGACTTTGGTATTTGTTGAAATTTTTTTTGAGTTCCATATGTTCTTCAATTGTAGGGATGCGACCCTTGATTTGCCAATCCTTGCCTTTACGTCTGCATCTGAGCCTCCTTGTTCATCGATGATGCTTCCCAGGTATGTGAAGGATTCTTCGCCTGTAGCTCTTCTAGAGTTACTGCCGGTCCCAAGCCCGGGTAAAGGAGGAGGTTTGGGCATGGGGTTAGCGTCCCCATTCCATAGAAAACTAGCTCGCTAAAAAAACGCTTACCAGAACTGTCCGCTTCTCAACTACTAAAAACAATCACAAAGCGAATCGTCATTATTGTATCCTCCTGATAATTGTTTGAGACAAACCAGTGAATGAAACAATATCCTGACTGTTCGTCAAGAAATGTTCAAACCTATACACTGCATAATCAAGAAATCAGATCATATGATCGTCGAAGTGGGTCTGTTGAACGGGAGTGTCCACTCAACTGGATGTTGAAGGAAGTCTGTAATATCAATCATGCAATTTCAGTCACTCTTTAAATGAAATTTTGTGCCGAATCGTCACCGTTACTTTTATTGTTTAGAATTTAACTTTAACCATTCCTAAGTGCATTCAAAAGTTGTTTGTCATGTGCTTCATTTTATGAACTTCACGTAGTAATAGTGGAAAGATGAGTAACTGCCACTGCGGACAATATCAAAAAAGTTCAATACAGCTTTTCTTCGAGATTCTGACAAACTCAACAAATTCAAGATAGTCCTCAGCAACAAGTTCCAGGCAATTCATGATCTACTCAATGGAGAAGGAACTACTATGGAGAGCAACTGGAAGGGGATCAAAGAGGCAATCACTTCAACATGCCATGAGGTCCTGGGTCACAAGAAGCACCATCACAAGGAATGGATCACTGTTGACACACTGGATAAGATTCAAGAAAGGAGGAACGAGAAAGCAGCAATCAATACCAGCCGAACAAGAGCAGAAAAAGCCAAGACACAAGCTGAATACACAGAAGTAAACGAGCAAGTGAAGAGGAGCATCAGAACTGACAAACGTAAATATGTGGAAGATTTAGCAACGACGGCGGAAAAGGCTGCAAGAGAAGGAAACATGAGACAACTGTATGACATAACAAAGAGACTCTCTGGAAATCGCTGCAAACCTGAACGACCAGTGAAAAACAAGGAAGGCAAGGTAATCACCAACATTGAAGAGCAACGAAACAAGTGGATAGAACACTTTCAAGAACTCTTGAATCGACCAGCTCCACTGAACCCACCCAACATCGAAGCAGCACCCACGAACCTCCCAATCGATGATAGCCCACCAACAATTGAAGAAATCAGCATGGCCATCAGACAAATCAAGAGTGGCAAAGCAGCAGGACCAGACAACATTCCAGCAGAGGCACTAAAAGCAGACGTAGCAGTAACTGCAAGAATACTCCACCTTCTCTTCAATAAGATTTGGGATGAGGAACAAGTAGCAGAAGACTGTAAGGAAGAACTTCTGATCAAAATACCGAAGAAAGGCGATCTCAGCAACTGTGATAACTACAGGGGCATCACTCTTCTCTCAATACTAGGAAAATTCTTCAACAGGGTATTGTTAAACAGGATGAAGGACTGCGTAGACGCCCAACTTCGAGACCAACAGGCAGGATTCCATATGGATAGATCGTGTACAGACCAAATCGCAACTCTACAGATCATTGTGGAACAATCAATTGAGTGGAATTCATCACTTTACATCAACTTCATCGACTACGAAAAGGCATTCGATAGCGTGGACAGAACAACACTATGGAAACTTCTTCGACACTACGGCGTGCCTCAGAAGATAGTCAATATCATACGGAATTCCTATGATGGATTAAACTGCAAAATTGTGCATGGAGGACAGTTGACAAAGTCGTTCGAATTAAAGACTGGTGTCAGACAAGGTTGCTTACTCTCACCCTTTCTCTTTCTCCTGGTGATCGACTGGATCATGAAGACGTCAACGTCTGAAGGGAAGCGCGGGATACAATGGACATCTAAGATGCAGTTGGGCGACTAAGACTTCGCAGGTGATCTGGCTCTTCTATTCCAAACGCAACAACAAATGCAGGAGAAGACGAACAGTGTGACAGCAGCCTCAGCAGCAATAGGTCTCAATATACACAAAGGGAAAGCAGGATTCTCCGATACAACACAGAATGCACCAATCCAATCACAATTGACGGAGAAGATTTGGGAGATGTAAAAACCTTTACGTATTTGGGCAGCATCATTGATGAACAGGGTGGATCTGATGTAGATGTGAAGGCACAGATCGGTAAAGCAAGAGCAGCATATTTACAACTGAGGAACATCTGGAACTCGAAGCAACTGTCAACCAACACCAAGGTCAGGATTTTCAATACAAATGTCAAGACAGTTCTACTGTATGGGGCAGAAACCTGGAGAACTACGAAAGCCATCATCCAGAAGATACAGGTGTTTATTAACAATTGTCTACGCAAAATACTTCAGATCCATTGGCCAAACACTATTAGCAACAACGTACTGTGGGAGAGAACAAACCAGATCCCAGCGGAGGAAGAAATCAGGAAGAAGCGCTGGGAGTGGATAGGACACACATTGAGGGAAGCACCCAACTGCGTCACAAGACAAGCCCTCACATGGAATCCTCAAGGCCAAAGGAAAAGAGGAAGACCAAAGGACACATTACGCCGGGAAATGGAAATAGACATGAGAAAAATGAAGAAGAATTGGATGGAACTAGAAAAGAAGGTAGAGTGGGACAGAGTGGGTTGGAGAATGCTGGTCAGCGGCCTATGCTCCATTAGGAGTAACAGGCGTAAGTAAGTAAGTAAGCAACTGAACCAATCCATCAAATGGAACGATTAAATAGACTCGAACGGCGGTCCACCGACTCTTCGGTGTTTAGCCTCTAAATGATCGCTTTTGTAAACGCTGATAAAATATAGACAGATTTTCTATTTTGTGAAATGGGACAGCGGACACAATTGACTGATCACTGGGTGGTGATCAATGTCATGCTTGTCTAGTCCTTATTAGTGCAGATCGAATGCTAT